TCTGCTACAAGGTCAAGCCTTTTGAAGAGCTTGATGTAAGAACTATCACTACTACTGCTAGGGCACACAAAATTGACGAAGAATAGAGCAGACGCATTACTGCTAATAGTAGCACAGCATCCTGGTGGACATCAGGGAAACCTCGCATACTGCAGTCCATCCCTACTGAAGTTTCGCCTAACCCTAACCACACATCTCAGTCCCTGGCTGCTTGAATCCCCGTCCACTGGGGCTGATCCTTCGTTCGTTCCCCCGAGACATAACAGGGACTCAGAGGAGCGAGCTAAACACAGGAAACACACCCAGTCACTGAAACCTTCTCAAGGTAATTCTGTCCCATCCCGTCCCTCATCTCGTCAACGAGGCGGGGAGTACTGCCGTCAGTGCAAATGCAAGGGTCACGCAGATACCAGAGGAACAAGTGTAGTTACAGTCTGCGCCCTGGACATACTGCCCAAGAGTGTCGCACACGCATAGAGAAGAGGTAAGAATCATTCTTCCAGAGAATCTCGACTGAACAGGCAAAAAAACAAGCCCCACTTGCTCAAACACTAACAGTTGGATTTTTTCTAATGTGCCTCCTCATTCATACAGTGATAGTTGGGCTACAGTGCCAGACCAAATGGCTAGTACACCACAGCCCTCCTGCTTCACCCCAGTCAGACACAAGCAAATTATCAATTGCCTTACGTCAACCACTCAGGCCCTTACAAATATGGCAGCCAATGACCACATTACCATAATTTCCACTAATCTCAGACCAACATAGGTGATTTTACTCACAACCATGTGAATTCACACACTTCTGATATTATTGCATGTGTGGCCACCTTCCTAAATAAATCTGTGCCGGACAGTTTTGGCCAGATATGTGGTTACATAAGGTGGTATCGACGTGACAGGAAGCGTGGAACCTTTGGTGGTGTCGCAGTCTGCTTCCACAAGGGTCTATCCATCTCCTTAATAGACGTTCCTCTCCCATGTTCTTCAAGGTATGGACCCAGCACCAGAGCTCAAAATTGCAATGTGTTTGCTAGTGTCCACAGTGGCAAGGAAGTGATCCCACTGACTTTCTGCAGGCCCACATGGATGAACTACTGCGACAGCACTCTTGTGATCATGTCGTTATTGTAGCTGATATGAATCAACACCTGATTGCAGATTCATCGAGGAGCTACTGATAGCTTTTGGATTAACAAATCATGTGGACTTTGCCACACACATTTCTGGCTCTTCCCTCGATCCTGTCATCAGTGATCTGTCAGAGCAAAGATAAAGCCAAGGTGCTTGCAGCCTTCTTAAGCAAAATGACAGTGCTTGATTTCAAGAGCCTTCCACCAAATGTACTCAGTAATGCGAATCTGGATACTCTTAATATCACAAAAGAGGAGCTCATGCGAAAATTATTAGAAGTTGACCCCAAGAAAGCCCTGGACCCTGACAACATCAGTCAGGAAAAACGAATTGGTGTCTGCCGTCTGCCCCTTCAGGAAAAGTGCATCTCACCTGGCTGCAGCTCTTCCTATCATAGCCGACAAAATTACACCAGTCCTTATCTCTCAGCATCTACGCAGCAACAAGCAATTCGGTTTTCGAACAAATAGATCTGCAGCTGATTAACTACTCCGCATGACCACCACTTGGCACAAAGCCCTTGTCCAAGGCAAGGATACCTTCCTCATTGCGCTCGACACTGCAGAGGCATTTGGCAGGGTGTGGCACCTCGGCCTCGCCGCCAAACTCAACAGTGTGGGAGTGTGCGGCGATCTCCTCCGCCTTATGCAAGACTCCCTGAAGAGATACATCTTTCAGAGTAGCAGTGAACGGCCGCAGCTCTGGGACATCTTTTTTTAATGACCTGCTCCGCCTGGTCCCAGAGGCACATACCTATGCTGATGACTGCACCCTACCGTATGAACCAAGTTCTTTAAACCATCGTTTCATGGGGCAGACGCTGTCAAGTCGATTTAGCCCCAGATAAAACACAGCTAATTCTTGCATCTCGACGTCAGTGCATCCCCGATTCACTTATTCCCACCGTTCTTTTGGAAGTGAGAGAACTGCCACTTCAGTCATCCATCACCAGTCAGTGATACTCTGACTTTCACTAATCTCTTTCGTAATGTTGCCAAGAAAGTCGCGTAGAGACTGAGAAAGAGGGAGAAAGAAAGAAAGAAAGAGAGAGAGAGAGAGAGAGAGAGAGAGAGAGAGAGAGAGGAGAGAGAGAGAGAGAGAGAGAGAGAGAGAGAGAGAGAGAGAGAGAGAGAGAGAGAGAAAGAGAAAGAGAAAGAGAAAGAGAAAGAGAGAAGAAGAAGACACAAGTAAAACAATACAGCATAAGCCTACGTGACCCAAAGAGAGAGAGAGAGAGAGAGAGAGAGAGAGAGAGAGAGAGAGATGAGAGAGAGAGAGAGAGAGATGAGAGAGAGAGAGAAAGAGAAAGAGAAAGAGAAAGAGAGAAGAAGAAGAAGAAGAAGAGACAAATAAAACAATACAGCAT